GCTGTGCCCACCATGTCTTGTTGCCTGAACTCCTCTCATACCCAATCCTTGGTCTATGTTTATAGACTCAATGAAAATACCTTCCTTTCTACTGCCTCTTAATGCTAACAGAATCATTTTGTTCCCTGAGCACAAATAGCCTTCCGGGCCTCTGGGTGGGATGACAACTAGAGCAGAAGTCCAGCATGCACGGCCCTCTTCCTGGCCCATACGTGGCCCTGCTCTTAGTCCAGTCTTTGCTGGTCACTCCCTGAACTCTGAAACGTCAGGGAAGTTGAGTTTCTCTTTCTCTTGAGATTGTACTTTTTAGGAGCTCCTGAATTCCCAGGTATAGGGTGACCCCTCTGCATTAAGGACATGGCTGTCAGACTCATCCCTGGTTTACTTCCTCAGATTTAGGTCTCTGAGTTCTAAACAGTTTCCCTGTTTCTTTGGTTGATATTTTGGTTGATATTGCCCTTTGTTTCTTCAGGTTGATGTTATGTTGCGTAATTACGTTGGTTGATTACATTGAGTAAATATATGCTTGTAGATAGAAACATTATAAACTCTTTCCCCATTAAGCTCTAAATAAACTTGTTTGGGTGCCAATGTACCAATGTTGGTAAAAAGGTCTTGACCCTTTTTTTTTTTTTTTTTTTTTTTTTTTTGCAGGAGCAGAGGAGAATCTGAAAAAAAAAAAAAGAGTGAGAAGTTCACCTTATAATGCTGTTATTTTCAAATAAACCCTCCTACTTTAAAAATTTACACAACTAGACCTATACTGAAAATATTTTCGAATATATCAGATATCAAATATATCTGCATGTGTCACTGTGGAGATGGCTGCTTCCTCTACCACAGAGCACAATAATACTCAGCCTCATCTTCAGCCTAGGCCCCTGTGATGGTGAGGGCAGCCTTGTCTTCAAGCACAGAGTTTGACAATCAAGTGGGGACCCCATGCAGAGATGGGGACGTGAGACACACCCACCCTGGCTCAGCGTCCCCCTGTGCTCCTAACATCTCCATCTTCCTCACACAGAGGCTGTATCTGGCTAACGTGGGCCCATGATGCTCATTCTCCAGGACCCAAGAGAAAGTGGTCGAATATATTCTTCCAGCTGCAAAATTGTTTATTTTTAACCCTCCATGTTATTATAACAATGTGTTCATAAAGCACAATACTAAGATCTATCATCAGTTGCACAGTTATGAGTTATTTATAGGAGTGGCAAAATAAGAAGTTACACACACACACACACAGATTCAGGCAGGCCAGCATTTAATTACCAAGAGCAAAGTTTGATACTGTAGTGACACAACACAACGATGATGCTGTGTATAATGATAAACACAGCAATAGACCTATAAAGATCTGAAGAAACATAATCCAAACAGGGCAAAAATCTCCCGCTCACCAAATTTTAGAAAATTCTGAAACAAAATAAAAATTTTTAAAACCCCTCAAAACTGAGTTAATTTATAAAATATAACACAAAACATAAAGTTGACATAAATGAAACACTCTTCTTACTCAGGAAATGCAGCTTCTTTCTCCGCAACTTAATCTAGTGTACCAAAACCGAGCCTCCCTGTTTGCTGAAGGAAAACGTCAGCATCACAGCAGTAGAAAAGCACCGGCCTCTCTACCCACAGTGCATCTTCCCTCCAGAGACTCCGCAGGACTCTGCAGGGGGTCCTGAGGGCCCTGAAGTGGAGGCTCTGTGATGGGAGGGGGCACGGATGGCACAGGGCAGGAATGTGTGCAGCGCAGGAATGTTACAGATACAAGCTCCATTCTCTCTAAAACAAGCCTGTCTTACGTGATTTATCTTTATTCTTCTCTACAAAATAAATAAATAAATAAATAAAGCCACAAAGATAGCTGCAAAGAAATATGTGAAATTGTGCAAGGCTAAGATAACAAAGAATATGGGAGGAAAAAGTAATTATGACATCTTCTATCAAAACATTTTAGTCCAAGCGTGGTGGCTCATGCCTGTAATCCCAGCATGTTGAGAGGCCAAGGCAAGAGAATCACCTGAGGTCAAGAGTTCAAGACAAGCCTGGGCACAGTAAGAGATCCCATTTTTATTTTTTAAAAAATGGAACACCAGAAACAGATAAACAGCACTCTTCATTCCTAATTAACTTGACAGGGTAAAAATTCTGGAATCATTTCCAAAAAGCTCAAATTTTGAGGTTAAAAGGAGAGGAGGAAACCCATAGAGAAAACGAGGGCTTTGGTCAAGGCTCTTAACAATGAAGAGCAGGACCTCTGAGTCCCTGCCACAGCCACTATATTCTACTGTGTGCTCACACACCACATTAGATGAATGTAATTATGTGATACCCAGGTCCTCCTTCAAGAAAGGAGTATTCGACTCTGTTATTGGGAGACCTCAGTGGACAGCCTCAAGCTGTCAGCAGCTTATGGGTTAGCCTGAGCTGCAGAGCAGCCTCAAACAAGGCTGCCAGGTACAATGGATTAAATAGTGTGATTCCAAAATTCACACCCACCTGAAACCTCAGAACATAATCTTATTGGGAAGTGAAACCTTATTTGCAGATGAAATTAGTTAAGATGAGGTCATACAGGATTAGGAGGGACCCTAAATCCAAAGACTCTTGTCCTTATTAGTACAGAAGATGACACACAGACATACACAAAGCAAAGCTGGCCATGGGATGATAAAGCCAGAGGTTGAAATGATGAAGTTACAAGCCAAGGAATGCCAAGTGTTTCTGGGAGGCAGCAAAAATTACAAGAAGCAAGCATTCTTCTCCGGAGCCTTCAATGTGAGCATGGCCTTGTTGTTATCTTGATTTCCGATTTTGCACATCAGAGTTGTGAAACAATAAATTCCTATTGTATTAAACCATACAATTTGTGGTTACTTACTATAGCTACTATAGGAAAAAATACAGTAACAAATGACATAATGACCAATAAATAGTTAGGAATGTAGATGCCCCTCTGGACTTTATTCTAATTCCATATGCAATGCTGTGAGTCCTGCATCTGCAAATCTTAGCATTCATCGTACTTCCTCCCACTTCCCAATTTCTACAGTAAATTAACTTTAGACATGAATGATTAAAAAACAAATCAAGTAGTGTGGGAGTCCTTGGAATGCGTTGCCTTAAGTCACAAGGATTATGGAACACTACAAATGTATATATTTGTTATTTTATGTACCAATTATCTTTTACTGCTCCATTGATCTGTTGTAAAAATCATCTAGGGAGAGAGAAAGTTGATCGGTAAAATGGGTTGAAAAATTAAACAAGATGAACCATATTGATGATGGTCAAAGTTGGCTGACGGATGCAAACAATTCATTAGAAAATTCTCTTTATATTTGCAAGACTCAAAAGTTTCCATGCTAACCAGTGTTTAAAATATCCTTGTTTGTGATTTTTCTGCTTTTAACAGGTGTATAATGTGGACAAAATGTAAGCTTACACTTTTACTTCACATAGAAGCCCATCTTCTCCTGACAGGCACAGGAGAAGCTGGTGTGGAGAACGTGGAAATGACAGCAGCTCAGGGTTTCCCAGGACAGGGAAGCGAGTGAGTCTGGAGCCCTAAAAGCAAGGGCAGGGGCTGTGAGTTGGGCTGTGGGGGTGTGTAAGGGCCGCAGTGCAAAGGGCATGTTTCAGAAGCTACAGGATTTGGATTTTATAACAAGAATGGTGAGTTACTGAAGGGGTTTAAGCCAGGTAGTACCTTCCCTGCCTCATCTATCTGAAAGGGATCTCTCTCCAAATACCTTGAGGAGAGAGTGCTTGAGAAAAGTGAGGGATCCTTATTCTAGATTATTCATTAAGCACCTTGTGAGTCTAGAAATCCAGGGGCCACTTGCACAGTTAGCACAAGAGTAGACGTGGCTACATTGAGAAGTGATGGTCTCTGCCTTTGTCTCCTGAGACATTCAGTACTTGCCAGAGCACTTTGCAGGTAAAATAAATACTGATATTTCAAATAACCTGAAAGCATCCAGTAAAAAAAATAAAGGTGGCAATATCAAGATATAAACAAATTGTATAACATCCAGGACAAATTGTTTACCAAAAAATAGGACACAACTGTGAAGAAAGTGACGTTTTACTTAGGGAGATAGTGGCTAACTTCATTAAATAGAGAAATATGGTCACACTGCTCACTGGTAAAGAAAAGTCTACAAAATCTGTGAATGTTCCTACATCACAAAACTGAGTCAAATCTCTATAAAACATACGAAACCATTAGATAGACAACTTTTGCTAAATTGCTGCCTTTAACATGTCATGGATCATTTATTTTTCCTGGAAAATTCTCATTATTCACTGTCCTTGTGAACAACCCCTAGCTGCCCTTCAACCTAGCTCCTTAGCTGACCCCTTATTCATGATGCCCACCCTGATGGCACATGTGGGCAATTAGATGTTTCTAGAATGCCATGCCGGGGTGCTGACAGCTTTAAAAGTTATATATATATATGGCTGCGTATCCCACAGACCAAGACAACTTCTGGGAGTGAGAAATCACAGTGATAATGCACAGCATGAGAGAAGCAGTGTCTAGGAATCAGACCATGGATATGTGAATACAGACAGTGACCGGAGAGCTGCGGAGACCAGCTGGGTTCTGAAGTCTCTGAGCCATGGGAAAGTGTGTGTTCTGGGATCAGCATCAGATCTTTTGGAACTGCCCTGTGGTTCCTACACAGCTTCTCGGTAAGGACCATTCACTCAAAGAAATCCAGGCCCGGGGGCTGGGCCCTGTGTTCACTGATGGAGACTCAGCAGCTGTGTCCCCTCTGGCCTGGCAGAGATCCCTGAGCAGGGACCTGTGTACGGTCTCAACAGGTGCTTCCTCCCAGGGCCTTGCAAGAAGAAAAGCAAATCTTCCTCCTGCTCAGTCTGCAGTGTGAGCTGAGCTGCATCCCCAGGGCTCAGGGAGGGGCTGGGCAGTCCCTGGGTGGAAACACATTTGCATGAGCAGCCCCTCCTCTGCAGAGGGTGGGAAGAAAAGGAGGCCTGGGGCAGCCCAGTCCCACTGCGGGGAAAGAGGCTGTGTCCACCATGGCCTGGACTCCTCTCCTCCTCCTGCTCCTCTCTCACTGCACAGGTAGGAACAGGCCTCAGAGACCAGGGTCAGCCACCCAGCCTGATTCTGACTCTTCTGTCAAAGATCGCTAAAACATGGGACCCTGGTTTCTGCCTTAAAACCTATAAATGCCTGTGTTTCCAGGTTCCCTCTCGCAGCCTGTGCTGACTCAGCCAACCTCCCTCTCAGCATCTCCTGGAGCATCAGCCAGACTCACCTGCACCTTGCGCAGTGGCATCAGTGTTGGTAGTTACAGGATATTCTGGTACCAGCAGAAGCCAGGGAGTCCTCCCCGGTATCTTCTGAACTACCACACAGACTCAGATAAGCACCAGGGATCTGGAGTCCCCAGCCGCTTCTCTGGATCCAAAGATGCTTCGGCCAATGCAGGGATTTTACTCATCTCTGGGCTCCAGTCTGAGGATGAGGCTGACTATTACTGTATGATTTGGCACAACAATGCTTCTCACAGTGACACACACACATGGGGAAGTGGGACAAAAACCTCACCCTGATCTGGGTCTTGTTCCATAACAGTTTTTAAATTTTAAAATAACCGGCCTAGGCACAAACTACATTTGGAAGTACTTTCTAGCTGCAAAAGGCTCTTCTCTTAATTTCCCATCCATCCTTCTGAAGTCTCAGTAAAACAAAGCAAAACCAAACCACCTGATGATCCTGAAGTGTTGGCTGCGTGTCCATGTGTGCTAACACCAGTGGCTGTGGAGCTGGACTATTTTTTTCTTGAAAGAAGCAAAATGAGCCTTTCCTAGCTCACAGCATGGTCAGAGCCTGGGGACATGGTAGCAGGTGAACAGTCCCCTGCAGCATGGACTCTGCTCTTCCAGCGTACAAGCAGAGACCTCCCCTTCCATCCCCAGTAGTCTGTTCTCAGGGCTGTCTGAGGCTCACTGTGTCCCAGGAACAAGGCACTCAAATATGAAATGCTGCCTGAGGATGCAGGTCAGGGAGGAATTCCAGATACAGAGCTGATCTGGCTCAGTCCTGGGCACCTGCATTTCAGTGGAAATGTCAGGAGATGGGGTTAGGTCTGAGGGTAACTGCAGACCTGGGGCCAGTAAAGCTCTGTGTAGGACGTGAGAGAGTCAAGGGGAGGCTCCACCATGGCTGAGACAAGGCTGAAGCTGCTCCTTGGCCACAGGGGACGTAGGTCCCACGGATGTGACGTTCCTGCAGCTCATCCCACTCAGGACCACGGGAACTGCTGAGGGTGGGTTTCCTGATCGCTCAGGGCCTGACTGTGTTCTCTTGTCCTCTCTTACACCATTGGAGCTTCTCCCTGAGTCAGGGTCTAGTGGTGAGTCTGTGGAATATCCCAGTACAGAAACTGCACAATATTTGCTTCAAGTGACTCCTCCCCGGAAAACTCTTGAGGAGCCCCCACCTCAATGTCAACTTTTACTGCACGGGGAGCAGCAGAAACACTGGGCATTCCTTCCCAGAAAGAGCACCTACGTTTGTGACCTAGGACAGCAGTGATGTTCCCTCAGGGGTCCCAGCCTGATTCTCCTGCTCTGGGTTTATTCACACAGCCTCCTGGACAACCCCTGGGCTCCAGTCTGAGGACAGGCTGGTTATCAGTGTCACACAGCTGCATCCTGGCTCCGTGTTACCAAGGGTTCTTGTTCCATGGGGAAATGAGAGAAGATCCGCCCCACTCATCCTCTCTGCCCTTCCCTCCTTTATCCCTGCCTGTGACCAACACCAGTTCATGCCAAGGCTTCTGCTGTCACTTGTGTTACTGAAAGCAGAGCAAGAGTTCAGTGACAATAACTCCTTTTTTTTACTGGTCTCCCAATGTAAAGAGAATCATCTTGTTTCTAGAAGCAAAAGGAGCTGCCCACACATGGTGGGTGTGGATGAGGTGGGGATGACAAGAAAGAATCCAGCCTGTGTGACCCAGAAGTCCAGGAGCCTTCGGCCTGGTCCCAAAGGTGGCCCCTCCTTTTGGTGCAGGTATGCTGGCCATTTCCTGAACTGAAACTGTGGGAGAGATGACAAGAAAGGGGAATCCAGCCTGTGTGACCCAGAAACCCGAATGTGAGACAGGAAGTCTGATGCTTAAGAAAACGTGGGCTCAGCATTCTGAGAGGTGGCATGACCTAGAGCTGGTGTAGAAGAGAAGCAGAATGAGGAGATGGGTGTGGGGTCAGATGGGGTAAAGAGGGTGCAGCCTGAAGAGGACATGACTCATAGGAGGAGGAGGCCTGGAGCCTAGAGCAGTGACAAAAGGAGGACCAGCAAGGACCCTGAAGACACAAAGGGACTGGAGTTTTGGCCTCTCTGTGAGGGTCCCTGTGGAGGATCACATAAAAAATCCATAGTCAGTGTCCTCTGCTCAGCGTTAACTGTCCCAGCAGTTGCTCCTTCTTCCCGGAGCCACTGGGTGTCCAGGTTCCTTAGCTGTGGACCTGTTCTTCTCTCTGTCCTCAGCATAAGAGCTGATGGGGCATCCACCAGGAAGTGCATCCGTGGGCGGGGGGGTGGGGGGCATGGACAGCCTTGTCCTGTATGTGAGACACCGCTCAGCCTCCGTGACCCCCTGTTCATTAAAGTGGGAGGAAAGGAAAACAAAATTCCCTGTGACCATCTATGCATCACCAAAGAAAAAGCAAAGAGAAGGAAACAGGAAGCGAAGCCCAGATCTAATAGCTCGTTTCTACTTGGAAATAAATAAAAATATGCTTGGTGTGTTATGTAAGCACAATAAACATTTTAAAAACTATAAAAATTATGTAAAGAACTTGGCTATCACAAAAAGGAACATCTAAGATAATGACACCCTTGAGATGAGATCCCAAAATATAGCGTACGTTTTACTTCAGTTACATATATGGATTGGTTTTATTTAAATGTCTATAATAAATCTCACTATTTGGTTGTTTAAATGGAGCATTGAAAATCTCAGTGTGGACGGGTGCGATGGCTGACGCCTGGAATCCTAGCACTTTGGGAGTCTCAGGTGAGCTGATTACAAGGTCAGGAGTTCACGACCAGCCTGGCCAACATGGTGAAACCCCATCTCTACTAAAAAAATACAAAAATTAGCCTGGCACAGTGGCACACACCTGTAATTCCAGCTACCTGGGAAGCTGAGACAGGAGAATTGCTTGAACCTGATAGGCGGAGGTTGCATTCAGCTGAGATGGCACCTCTGGACTCTAGCCTGGGCAAGCGACCAAGACTGTGTCTCAAAACAAAAAAAAAATCTCATTGTACTGGAACTGCCTGGTGATACATTCACCAGTGTAAATATCAACATCACCATCCAGCTGTTTTCCTCCATCCCCATAAAATTCCTCAAACAAATACTTGTTAAGAGTCCAGGGTGTATCGTGCCAGAACTCAAGCAGTCAAAGACATAATCTATTTCATTTTTCATTTTGATTAACAGAATTATCTTTTTTCTTAAGCTTATTGTTTTTAGTTGATTAGATTCTAGATGTCATTACAGATCAAAGATGAATAATTTCTATCACCTTCAAGTCACCCCCCCACACTCACTACTGAATTTGAACCATAACTTTTCCCTGGAAATCCTAGTTGGGGGCTCGATGCTAAGAGCTATCACATATCAGGTTCACCTGATGACAGACTCTGGTCATCAAACCAAGTTAAAATTTTAATTCTTCCCATCTTCAAAGACTGAACATCTTTGCTGTTTTTGCTCATAAGTGAGACCCTCCAAAGACATTTGCCAAGGTCCCCCACAGACTGGCATTCAGTGCTTGGAGGACAGACTCCTAGGCAAGATCCCTGGTCACAGTATCCAAATGACTGTGACTGCAAATCTGGGGAAGCAGAGGGAGAACAAAGATTTACCAGAAAATCCCTCTGAGAATCCCTCCCCAGGGCATCCTAGAGGGAAGAGCTCCCTTTCTCCTCAGCGCTGCAGGGTCCACAGAGGAAGGAGAGCTCTGGCCACCAGGACGGAGCCACATGAGAGGAGAGGACCCGGTGTCCCACACAGGTGGGGAAGTGAGTCCACGGGGCTGGTCCCCACTCTGGGCTTGATCCTGAAATAAAAGGACTTTGTGTAGCCATCACCTGAGTCCTCTACAAAGTACAGCCAAAGAACTATGGATAGGTTCACTCCTGAGGAGTCCAGTAGAACGTGAAGACTGCCCCGAGGTCACAGGAAGGAGACACAGGTGCCACCTTACTGAGCCTGGACTTGAGAGAAGGGACAGTGGACAGAATGGGGGGAGGCAGCGGTGAATCTCAGTGACTCTGGTCACCTGATCATAGAATGGTTTGCCTTAGTCTGGACACAAGGGGGCGCTTGGGGCCCATTTCTGAGAAGACTGGGGTAATCAGAGCAGAACCAGGCGTCTGCCCTGCCTGATGTCCTCTGCTCAGGGCTGACAGCTCTGTCCTGTGTCCTCCCCACCCTTTGGGACCACAAAGCTCCACCCCTGCCACTCCCTGATATCCTCAAGCCCAGGAGCCTGGCCCAGGGCTCAGGGTGGGGTCACAAACCTGGGAGGTCTGATTTGCATGGATGGACCTCCCCCTCTCAGAGTATGAAGACAGGGAGAGTTTATGGGGAAGCTCAGCTTCAGCTGCGGGTACAGAAGGCAGGACTCAGGATAATCTCCAGCATGGCCTGGTTCCCTCTCGTCCTCACCCTCCTCACTCACTGTGCAGGTGACAGGATTTGGGGCCAGGAGAGGGGTGCTGGGAAGTCCATGGGGCCCTGCTTTCTCCTCTTTTCTCCTTGTGTCTCTTGTCAATCACCATGTCTGTGTCTCTCTCACTTCCAGGGTCCTGGGCCCAGTCTGTGCTGACTCAGCCACCCTCAGCGTCTGGGGCTCCCGGGCAGAGTGTCACCATCTCTTGCTCTGGAAGCAGCTCCAACATTGGAAGTAATTATGTATACTGGTACCAGCAGCTCCCAGGAACGGCCCCCAAACTCCTCATCTATTATAGTAATCAGCGACCCTCAGGGGTCCCTGACCGATTCTCTGGCTCTAAGTCTGGCACCTCAGCCTCCCTGGCCATCACTGGTCTCCGATCTGAGGATGAGGCTGATTATTACTGTGCAGCATGGGATAACAGCCTGAGCAGTCCCACAGTGCTCCAGGCCCAGGGGGAAGTGAGACAAGAACCTCCTTCCTCCTCTGCCAGGAGGGGTGAGCCCCCGGCAGCTGCTGCTCAGGCCTGGCCTGTGGCTTCTGCTGCTGTAGCTTCCCCCATGGGTCCAGGGGCATCCAGAGTCCTGCCTGACAGTGGAGGCTCCTCCTCCCCTTTAGTTCTCAGAGTCAGGACCAGGGCATCCAGGAAACAGAACATTCTGCTCCCTGCAGCTTGAAACACAGGGTGTCTGCACTGAGGTCCTGGGCTGAGGCGGCAGGTCCATCTGTGTCATCACAGACTCACCTCTGATGGGGAATGTGTGTCTCCATCATCCTCCTTTTCCCATTTCCAGGAGTCTCCAGAGTGGTGTCTTCCTCCCCCCACTCCCTACTGTGAATCCCTGTGCTTCCTTTCTCCCTAGCACTTCTTTTTT